TAATACTGTCCTTGACTAACAATGCCACACCTCCCCCTCTTTTACCACCTTCCCTGATCTTACTGAAACATCTAAACCCCGGAACCTGCAACAACCATTCCTGTCCCTGCTCTATCCATGTCTCCGAAATGGCCACAACATCGAAGTCCCATGTACCAACCCATGCTGCAAGTTCACCCACCTTATTCCGGATGCTCCTGGCATTGAAGTAGACACACTTCAAACCACCTTCCTGCCTGCCGGTACACTCCTGCGACCTTGAAACCTTATTTATGACCTCACTACTCTCAACCTCCTGTACACTGGAGCTACAATTCAGGTTCCCATCCCCCTGTTGAATTAGTTTAAACCCTCCCGAAGAGCATTAGCAAATTTGCCCCCCAGGATATTGGTACCCCTCTGGTTCAGGTGTACACTATCCCGTTTGTAGAGGTCCCACCTACCCCAGAATGAGCCCCAATTATCCAGGTATCTGAATCCCTCCCTCCTGCACCATCCCTGTAGCCATGTGTTCAACTGCTCTCTCTCCCTATTCCTCGCCTCGCTAGCACGTGGCATGGGTAACAAACCAGAGATAACAACTCTGTTTGTTCTAGCTCTAAGCTTCCACCCTAGCTCCTTGAATTTCTGCCTTACGTCCCCATCCCTTTTCCTACCTATGTCGTTGGTGCCTATGTGGATCACGACTTGGGGCTGCTCCCCCTCCCCCTTAAGGATCCCAAAAACACGATTCGAGACATCACGGACCCTGGCACCTGGGAGGCAACACATCAACCGCGAGTCTCTCTCGTTCCCACAGAATCTTCTATCTGTCCCCCTAACTATGGAGTCCCTAATGACTAATGCTCTCCTCCTCTCCCCCCTTCCCTTCTGAGCAACAGGGACAGACTCTGTGCCAGAGACCTGTACCCCATGGCTTACCCCTGGTAAGTCGTCCCCCCCAACAGTAACCAAAACGGTATACTTGTTTTTGAGGGGAATGGCCACAGGGGATCCCTGCACTGTCTGCCTGTTCCCTTTCCGTCCCCTGACTGTAACCCATCTACTTTTTTCCTGTACTTGAGGTGTGACTACCTCCCCGTAACTCCTCTCAATTACCCCCTCAGCCTCCCGAATGATCCGAAGTTCATCCAGCTCCAGCTCCAGTTCCCTAACACGGTTTCTGAGGAGCTGGAGTTGGGTGCACTTCCCGCAGTTGAAGTCAGTGGGGACACTAGTGGTGACCCTTACCTCCCACATTCTACAGGAGGAGCATACAACTGCCCTAACATCCATTCCCACTGTTCTGAATTCCCAAACAGACAAATAAAAAAAAACTAGTAGCTTTACCAAATCAGCGCTCAGAACCTTTTTTTTGGTTAGAGGAGGAGGATGGGTGGGAGACACTACCTAGGTAGTGTTTCGGGTAAAGCAACTGCCCAAATATATTACCTCGCTTACTCCAAAAATGGAGTCACGCGAGGTAAGACTTTTATAATCGAAAAGCTCACCTTCCCAGGCTGCCCTCGCGCTTCCTCCCGGACTCCCGCCACTGAAACAACTCTGCTTCTTTCTCCCCAGATACTGCTGAACCAGCTGAATATCCCCAAGCTCTTTGGATTGTGATAAAAGGTGTCAGTTCACGTGTGAGGACGCCCTCTGCATCAAGAGATCCGGAAGTTTCTCAGTTGAATTTGGAAGCTTCCAAGTATAATGATGATTCAAGTATGGTCTACAATTCAAGGAGAACATTTTTTACTTTTCCTGCCTCCTCATGCAACTATAATTCCACATCACTGGTACAATTCACGTACAGTTCTTCTGTGTCCTTTTCAAAGTCCTGATATCCATCTTAAAAAATTGAAAGCATGCTTCATCTGAGGCCCAAATAGTCATTTGTAAAGGTTGAGTATAACTTTTTAAACTGTAATTAAATAATTCAGGCCAAAAACAAACTCCACATAAATCTAGATGATGAGGATGATACACAACTTGCATTTATATAGGACAGGTAGCAATAATGGTGACAGTGGCTCAGTGGCTAGTACTGCTGCCTCACAGCGCCAGTGATCCAGGTTCGATTCCAGCCTTGGGCGACTGTCTGTGTTGAGTCTGCACATTCTCCCTATATCTGTGTGGGTTTCCTTTAGTAATGGGCAGCACTGCTGCCTCAGTGGTTAGCACTGCTGCCTCACAGCACCAGGGGCCGGGGTTCGATTCCAGCCTTGGACGACTGTCTGTGTGGAGTTTGCACATTCTCCCTGTGTCTGCGTGAGTTTCCTCCCAGTCTAAAAAAAGTGCAGGTTGGGTGGACTGGCCATGCTAAATTGCCCTCTAGTGTCTAGGGTGGGAAATGCAGGGATAGGGTAGGGGGTGAGTCTGGGTGGGATCCTCTTGGAGGGTTGGTCTGGACTTGATGGGCCGAATGGCCTGCTTCCACATTGTAGGGATTCTATATTCTAAAAGTAGAAGACAGCTGGAGTGGTGACGAAAAGTTTCAGCAAAGGACATGGGCAACACAAGCAGAGTGCATAGAGTACAAGATGGGAATTAATCAAGTTTAAACATATGGATCACTTGTTCAGTAGCTGATGAACTGAGGTAGACAGGTAGGTTATTTCAGCTAAAAATTAGATTCTTCTAGAAAGATGACGAATTTGACAGTCACCATACTTTTTATAAATCAAAATTGCAGCCCAAAGCTTTAAATTGGTTGAGGTTACATTAATTGACTAAGGGACTAATGCAGGTCGTTGCAGGAAATGGTTGGTTCAGGCTGGATGCAAGTAAACAGAGCAATTCTTCAGCATCAGGAGATTATGTGACATATATTTTTATGCCGTGGACTTGGTTATAAAAGGCAAAGTTTTCATATGTTAGTAAACATGAAAATGTGGTAATACTGAGGATAGTAACAGACTTTAGTCTGTTTCACCAGTGAAGGTCCTAATGTAAATGAAACAATGCGCAGAATTGTGATTTGATACATTTTGGTTGGAAGAACGAGGAGAAGCAATAAAAATTATACCATGTAGCTGAAGTGGCATAGGTCAGAAAAACCTAGGTGGTTTACACATGCAAATCCTTGCAGGTGCCAGGACAAGATTATTCAGGAAAGCACAGTGGATATTAGAAAAGCATACAGTATCCAGTGTACAGAGCTGCAGAGTTTAAAAAGTTATACTCAACCTTTATAAACGACTATTTCGGCCTCAGTTGAAGCAACACATTCAATTTTTTAAATGGATATCAGGACTTTGGAAAAGACACAGAAGAACTTTACCTGAATTGTACCAGTGATGTGGAATTACAGTTACATGAGGAGACACAAAAAGCAAGAAATGTTCTCCTTAAATGAGAGAAGGGAAACAGAAAATGCAATAGATGCTCAAAATGATGAAAGGATTTGATAATGCAAATAAGGGTGGTAATCAGAGGATATTTAAAGAATTAACAGAATAGTAGAGGGGAGGCTTCTTTCTTTACAAGATACATCATCTGCAATGTACTGTGTAAATGTGCAGTAAAATAACTTTCAATGGGGATTTGCATATATACTTAAAACTTGCAGGACAGTGGGAATCAGCGGAATCGGACAAATAGCTCTTCAAAAACTCAGGAGTACGATGGACCGAATGTCCTCCCGCTGTACTGTAAAATTGTACAATTGAGCAGAGAGAGCTTTTGTACTAAGTGAAGACTAGACCAATGTAGTTAATGTCTGTGATAAACAAAAGTTTCTAGGTCTTGTAAATGGAACTGTTAAAAACAAATGATTTGGTCATGGATGACCTTGCCAGTGACAAATCCTCCCTGCCCTAAGTGCAGCAAGGAACCCCAGGAGTATAACAGGGGGAAATGGAAACTTACACTAGGAAAAAATTTACATGGTGTCCAGCTTTCTTTCAGTTTGTAATTTTTCTCACTATATTGATATATAATTTCAGGATTTAAAACAGAAGGGTTATAGGAGAAAGCAGCATGATAAAGCATGCATGTACATTCAAAAGTGGCAGGGAAGTAGCTGGTCTCTGCAATTACTGAGTAAAGTAAGAAGTCACTGGGTGAGCACATGCACGTACATCAACTTCTTCACAATCTTGTGATTAAATGTACTCTCTGCACATTCAATCCAAGTAAGTTTGGAAACTTTATGCTTCTTGCTTCTGGGAAATATAACTTGAACTTTTGAAATTTAGTTTAGAGATAGTTTTTAGAACACAGATGAATTGTGATGTTAAAAAACAATATGGAATACTTCTCCACGCTTCCAGTTGGGAAAAGAAAGTGGAATTGGGTTAACATCGTCCTTCACCTGAAGTCAGATAGAATGAAAAAAAAAGGACCCTATGGAAAAGGTGTGGATTTTCAACCACAGCACATGCAATCAGACTACTCAATGTTAATTCCAAAATCCAGAATGTATATAAAAACAAGAAACTGCCACAACCCATTCCTTACTTACCTACATGTTTATTTAGGACGTGTTTATTCTCTCCAATCAATATGTTCATGTGATTCCACATTGTGTGCTGGTACATTGCTAATGGAAAATTAAAGACTACACAGAGATTCCCAGCTAATAGATTTTGAAAGGTTTATGATCTTGTCTGGTATATGAGAAAGCCATAGGAGAATTCAAGTACAGTTGGTTCTGCTATAACGCATTTTTCATCAACACCAATTCGGTTTTACGCAATTGAAGAATTCAGTCTGCTATTTGTAGAACACAAACTTTCCTTACCTGTATTGGCTAGAACGCGATTCCGGCCCCATTAGTTTAAACGGCACAGCTATTGCGAGATTTTCTCATAACAAGAGATGTACCGAGAACAGAACCATTTTCTGAAGAAGGGTCTAGGCCCGAAACATCAGCCTTCCTGCTCCTCTGATGCTGCTTGGCCTGCTGTGTTCATCCAACTCTACACCTTGTTATCTCACGAGAACAGAACTATTGTGTTATATCAAAACCGACTGGAATATCAGTAACAAGTAGGTTAGATGACTTCAAACAAGCATCGTAGAAAAAGACAAAAAGACAAGATTTATTGATTCTTTGTTAGAACAAGCACATTTAAGAAAATTAATTACAAAATGAGAACTAGGCACATTGAAACATTCAGTTTAAATACTTCAAAGCAAACAAAAAGGTGACTACAGAATCTGGAAAAAAAAATTTCCTTCATATGAAGATATTGAAACATTTTAGTAGGGACGCTGGTAACCTCCAGAAGCGTTTCCTCCTGACATGTTTAGTCCTGACATCATCTGGCTTGAGCGGTTATCAAATGCCATGGAGCCTTGCTGGTAACCCCCTTGCATGTAGCTTCCTTGACTGCGAAAACCAAGGATTACAACAGGTTATTTATAAAACCTAAAAGACAAAACAATTTCTACTGTAATGTAAGGATGTTTATAATTAAGTAGCAAGAGTGGAGATTTAACATGCCCAGAGACCAAGGTCATGCCTTCCAAGAACTAAGGAGACAGAAAAAAACTTTACTGAACGTAGAGCTATATGAATTCAGTACAAATCACTCATTCCCATTTCCGTACTAATGTGAACGCCACAATGGATCCATCTACTATCAAATCGATTCTCTGCATTGTGTGGAATAATTCATGTGCAGGTTTAACTTCCTGTTAAATTTTGTGGTAATTCAGCTTCAAATAAGACATGGTTATGCATGCCTAGTCTAATAATCTTTTGTAAATTCCGTGCTGCACTCAATCTTTTAGTTTGAGTCCGAGTCTTACACCTTCTTGCTATAGTTTGAAAGCAAGGGAATTCATCTTTTTCTATTTCCTTTCCCAAACTCAAACACTGAACAGTTATTAGTTTCCCTCAACTTTCCTGGCAACACATCCCTAGTTTTACCCCAGTTCCTTATTATAACACTTAACCCCATGCCACACTTCTAGGAATCCAAAATTTCCTTCACTCTGGGATATATAGAGCTGTAACAGATAAAGCTACCTCCAAGCAGATCACCATGACCCACAGTCCTTGTGTGGGGTGGGAGTGCTTCTGACTAACTCCATAAAGAGGTTCAGAGAGTGCAGCATTGGGACGATGATGTAACTGGATAGGATAGAAGAACCCTTCAACCAGGAAGGTTCCATATGGCCATCGCGTTTGATTCTCCTCGTGATAAGAAAATGCTGCAATGCAACCTTTGCATGGGAAAGGATGGAGGTTCCACTGAACTAGACAGCGAGAGCTAAACATGGTACTAATACCAACTCCAAGCTCTTGGAAGAAAGGGATGGAACGGGAATTAACAGGAGATGGCTGTAAAGATTAGTGTTGCTGCTAACAGCAACCTTTAATAGATTTGTCATGTACTGCCATCCAGTGGCTTGTTGTGGTATTGTATACTTACAGATACAGAGGGGAGAAAAGATACCAAATAGTATCTCACCATGTGAGTATCAGTAACAGCACCAGTTACAAGCGTAATTGGTACTGGACATAACTGTTGATGGTTTTGAGACTGAGGTCTTCTGAAAGCTTTTTGAAATGCAACTTTGAGACCTATAGTTTTTACAGCAAGTATAATGGGATGATTTATTTATCTATTCCTTTATGAAGAGGAGGGGTGGGCTGGGGAAGGTAGGTGGGATGGTGATAGGTGGATGCAGGTAGGGAGTGGTGGGGATTGGTCAGTTGGATAGGTGGGGCAGATAGATGGGAGAGATGATGGGCAGCTTGTGTCGGGTCAAGGAGGTGGGAAGGAGGATGAGTGGGGCTGGGGAAAGGTAAGTGGGATGGTGATAGGTTGGATGCAGGTAGGGGCAATGGTGATTGGTCAGTAGGAAGGGTAGGGCTGATAAGCGAGGAAGAAGATGGACAGGTTGTGTCGGGTCAAGGAGACGGGGGTGAGATCACCACCCCACCTGCCTTTCCCTAGCCCC